TCTGAGAAGTTGAGGGTTTCGGGGGCACGAAACCGCGAGCTGTGTAGTAACCCTACAGAAAAACCCTTAGAGCACCTTGCATACCATAAACGCCCATAAGCCCAGTCCGAAAGCTCTACTTTCACGCTGGCCCCCTAGACCCTTTAAACCTTACACAACCAAACCTGAACCCTACAGTATCAACCCTAAACCTGAAACCCTAATCCCTAAACCCGAAACCCTCAACCCTAAACCGTAGAGAAAGCTCAGGCACCAGCTCTTTGGCCCAACCCTTGGCGACTTCGGGGTCCGGCACCACGATGGAGACGAGCCTGGCAGCAAGGTTTAGGGTTCGGGTTTAGGGTCTAGGGTCTGGGGTTTGTAAGATTTAGGGTTTATATAAGTTTAGGGTTTATAAGGTTTAGGGTGTATAAGTTTTGGGTTTATGAGATTTAGGGTTTAGGGTTTAGGGTTTGGGGGTAGGGTTTAGGGTGGCGTGCGGGAATGTAACGCAGGCCAGGGATCACTGCGTCTTGAGACTGTCGCCATACACAAAGTTCTGGGCGATGAGCTTGCTCTGCACCTTGCAGTTCAGCTTGCTTGCCGGAGCTTTGTCTTGTCCTGCGAACCCGAAGCCCTAAAGCCGCAAAAACCCTAAAGCCCTAGAGCCCTAAGATGCGTAGCCCTGAGACTTCGCAACTGAGGCCAAAGGCATTCAGATTCTCCAGCTTCTCCGGCGCCACATATTCGCCTGGCAGCTAAAGCTTCGAGTTTAGAGTCGAGGGCGGAAGGCTGAAGAATGAAATGAACTCAGCACTCGGATTTCAAGCACTGTCTAGGATGGCCCTTAGAGCCCTCCCAAAAAATCCTAAACATGATCCTCTTAAAACCCAAAAAAGGGAAAATACAACATATCTCAAGGGCCTACCTGTGGTGAGGAATGTAGATTTCAAGTTGGATCAAGGGGTCATCCCTGCCGGGCCTGCCCTTCAGCAATACTTGTGGAGTGCTCTTATGTTGAACCTGGGGTGCCTGTGGTGGACGCTTGAAACCCTAAACCCTAAACCCTAAACCCTAAACCCTAAACCCTAAACCCTAAGCTGCAGGGTGTGTGTAGGGTGTGGAAAGGCATAGGTCCGCAGCTGCGCGTGGGCCCTGAGGAAACCCTGTACAGCGGCAACAGCGCCTTGAGCGAGCTTGAAGATGTTCTTCTTCCTATCGATGATCTTCAGCCGCCCATCGGGCGTCCACATCCTCAACATAGGGTTTAGGGTTTACGGTTTTGGGTTTAGGGTTTAGGGTTTGGGAACCCTCCACCCGAAACCCGCTAGAGAGCTTGAGCAGCTGCGCAAAGTAAGGCCGTGGCCCGATGTCTCCTGAGTGGAACCATCCATCGGGGTCGATCGCCTCCGGCCGAGATCGCTTGCAAAATGATCCGACCAAACTGAGCAACTGCAGCGTTTAGAATGCGTCAAACTCTAAACCTTGCAAGCTAAACCTTGCAAGCCCTAAAGACTCCTGACTCCCCAACTTCCCAAACCCCGATGCCCCTAACAAGCTGGATGCTTTCTTGGCTGGGACATTGGGCAAATTTCTGCAGCATCAGTGAAGGGATTGCCCGAAGTTGCAGATACCAAACTCACTAGAATTTAGGGTCTCGGGATTTGAGGCGGCGGAAGCTTTTGCAAGCCTCAAGTTTTCGCAAGAGAGATCGCGCCGACGTGAAAGAAGTTTGTTCACTTGCCATCTCAGTGACTTCAAAGTTATTTGATGATTCTTCTAATATTCTTCTTTTTTTGGGGAAGGGACAACGGTTGGAGTTTCATCTATAAACGAGTCATGAGAAATCCATAGACATGGACCTTTCGTTGATGAAGCACCCTATGTGCTCAGATGATTAGGATGTCTGCGAAGCGGTGCTCTCGGTCTCTCCCAAACAGCCTAACATGGGGGCCTGAATAATTGGAGTAGGGTTTTGGGGGTTCTTATCGTATAATTCCCATAAAGGATTATTGTTAGTAATTGTTCGACCCCTATAGTATGCACCCAGGACCACGTTGCCAAGCCTCTGCCGTCTTGTCCGGCATCTTGTAGTAGCCTCTTCCGTGGGCGCTGGAATCCCCCGAGGTACTTCACAGGCGAGGCCCAAACATCCAACATCACAAATTACGTTTAAGATCACAAATTGAGATGTTCCCCCTTTACTAACAGTCCTTTATAGGGATTCTATTACCCCAAACTACAATCCTTAATCCTACTAAGGACTGTTAGTATAAGGGGAAACATCCAACATCACAAACATCGCGAGACGTCGGCTCAGTGGGAAAACCCAAGTCTCGGAGCCGCTCCAAATTTCAAATAGCCATTCCTTGGATCCCCCACCCCCCCCCCCCCCCCCCCCCCCCCCCCCCCCCCCCAAAAAAAAAAAAAAAAAAAGAGAGAAAGCAAAGGCACTTAAAAAGCAATCTTCCAGTTCCCCGCGCTACAGCAACAACCCCTGCAAACTCCAAACTCCATAAACCTCAGCCTCGACCCCAATGTCTTGACTGCACGTCAACCCCCCCCCCCCCCCCCCCCCCACACAAAAAAAAAAACCTGACACCCTAAACCCTAAACCCCAAAGCTACCCCAAAAACCCTTAGAAGCCCTAACCTTAACCCCAAAACCTTCGAAGCCGTGATCCCCCCCGGGCCTTGAAAGATGTTGAGGCCTTTGAAGCAGATCTCTCCACGGCCGTGGCCTCGGCTCTCACAATCCGACCTACCAAACACCATGTCGGACTTTGCGGCTTTGGGAGTTTCAGGGCCTTTTGAAGGGGGCTTTAGGCTTTTAAGGGTTTTCAAGGGTTTCTTTGAATATCCCCCTAACAAACTGGGAATGAGGGCCTAGTCTGGGTCCTAGGTAGTATGTAAACCGCTACACTCCTGGACCCTGAACGGAAATCCTGATGTGAACATGTCGACCTGCTTCGGATCGCACGAGAATGACTTACGTGTATAGGGTTTGTATTGCTTTCAGAGAGGTTGTGGCCCTACAATCAACAAACCCGAAACCCTCTAAGTCCCACACCCGAACAGTACTGAGGGTTTATTGGGTGTACCTCAACCCACTGCGGAGGATATGGCCAGGTTCCCGGCAGGGAATGGTCTTTGAGCCGATCTTATGCACCTCTGCTTTTTTGTTTTTCAAGGTTGGGGCTTTTAGGGTTAGGGTTCAGGGTTTGGGTAAGGTTTGAAGGGATTCAGAGAGTAGGGTTTAGGGTTCAAGGTCGGGGGCTCTGATGTCGAAGAATGCACGCATCCCGCAACCAGTGATAGAGCAGCACTCAGACAATTCTTAAGCTCCCGCCTGGTCTGTGCGCAGATAGCCTTAGAGGCTACATGAGGGATTCCACCAAACTTCGTGGAAAGCGGGAGTTAGGCATCCCTTTTGAGTAGGGGCTGCTCCCCAGAATACTGCAAAGAGGGCTGCTCGGGCAACTAAGACTGGTTCCGAAAATGAGCATTGAGCATTCCCTATGTTCATCAATGCCCATCTTGCACTCAGCACTGGCAAGGACGGTGATAGCAGTCGTCAGCTTGTCACAGTCCTGTAAAGTTCGACGATGCGTCCCTAGTTGATTGAGGCAACTGGGCACATCATAGGGACCATGTAAGGGTACACACTCGCACATATCCAAGCTTCTGAGAATATCCCTCAGACTTGGAATCTGAGGATGACTATCGGCAAAGGACATGAGAAACAGAGCGCCCCTGGTAAGTGGATGTAGATTGTGACTCGTGCTCAAAGGAGCTTCCATTGGCAGAAGCTAGGTGCCGCACCCATGTCAGGTACGTCCTCCACACGAGCATGCCCTAGACGCCCTAGACCCTAAACCCTAAACCCACTGCACTGCACCAAGGCCGATCCTTGAAATACATTGGTACAAGCATTCGAACATGTGAGCAACTAGTTCCTAGTTGCAAGGGAAGCAGGGAGCCCAGAAACCGAGAAGGAACGCTGCACTGGCTCACTGGATCCTTGAAATCAGTGAACCCCCAGCACAAGAGTCCACAAGGTAGCATTCTTGCAAGGTCCTGAAAGAAAGGAACAATGTTTATCAACGCCATCTGTCAGAAGTCTCAAATCTCAAGCCCAAAGCCCAAAGCCCAAAACCCTATGACCTACCTAAAACCACACGTAAAGACAGGTCCTTCAGGCGGATCTCGTTGCAGGCAATGACTGCGCCTACGGTACCCGGGATCATGTCGTCGTCTGCCGTGACAGTTCCTGCGAACACTAAGCCCTAAACCTTAAACCCGAAACCCAGAACCTACCCTAAGCCCTAAACCCACTTAACCACGCACCTCACTAAACCCTAAGCCGAACTTGGTGGGTGCATTCAGGCTAAGGGAATTAAGACATACCAGGGTCCTCAATTACCTGCATTCTTCACATGGGGCAGCGGGGCATATCGTTTTCATTGTGGTTGCGGCCTTCAGTTGCCAAAGCTTCCCGAGGTCGCCAGGCAGATGCCACCCCCTGAACACTAAACCCTTAAGGGCCCCATGTAGTAGAATGTGATAAAACCGGTCGAGGGTCCTGAACATCAGACTAGGACTATGAGCCGCCACCCAGACCCGCAAAACTCTAGCGCTTTCACGTGCTTTCAGCCTATAAAAAAAGCTCTACAAGCCCTTGGTTTACCCCAAAACCCTATATGAGCCCCCCAAAGCCTTCCGAGCTCGTGCTACTAAGTGCCTCCAGCGGCAGTTTCTGACAGACCGTATCCCTCCAAGACCTGGCGTGCTTCGTAGGAGTTTCGGGTTTGGGGTTGAGGAGGCTGTTAGGGCTTCAGAGCTTAAATTTGGATCTGAGCGCCGACCTCAACAAACCGAGCATACTTTGAGCCCTTGCACTAGAAACTTCGCACAAGGTGCCGTCAGGGTCTGTGCAGCTTGGCAGTCCGGCAGCTCAAACTCCGTGCGGGGTCCATTTTCGGCTGCCGCACATGTGCTGCTCTGGCGGAATCCGTGGGCCAGTCAGCCAAAGATGGGCTTGTCAATTATCTCACCTGCACCAGGCCATGGGGAAAAGCATAGTTTGTTGCCAAAGTACATCGGGGGAGCATGGGGAATCATCTGAATCATCGTCCCTGTTAGGTTCCTATCCAGCACGCCTAGTGAATCACTTAATGGTCAGGGAGCAGCATGTGCTATTCCTGATACTTTGATTGCTATTGTCGTCATCTTTCTACCAAGCGCTAGCTACGACTTCCGAAGCCAGCAGAAGAATAGCGCAAGCCTCAAGTCTATGCAGGCAACCGATCTGACGCCCGTCGCCTCAAGGCCACACCCAGCATGAAGCTTCAACTCAAAATCTCCGCTGCCCCCAGGACCTGAACCCCCAAACTCCAAACTGCAACCTTTGCGTGGTACGTTCTCGAGTTTTTGGTTCCTTTTTGAGGTACTTTACACATACGGGGCCACATCATATATGATCACAGGGACCCAGCAAAGGCCCCAATATTTCTAGAACTGCCCAGGAATAAAAGTGGGCACTAGCTTTCGGAAATGCCCATGCGCACAGTCGACCTGGATCCTTGGCCCGTACCACGTCGTAGTAGAGATGCTGCAGATCTTTCGCCTCAAGTGGATTTGCCGCTCTTCCTCGTAGATTCTTTCGGGGTTCCCACTGAGGAACTACCGGTCTCAGTTCAGATCGCGACGGTTGAACCATAAACTGAGCGCAAGGCAGAGGGTCTGGATTCATCTTGTTCGGGAGTGATTCGGAGTCGTTTGGGTTTTGGGGACTGAATTTTGGACGTAATGGGGAAATCTGGGTTCTGAGATGTTCCATAGCAAATGTAGGGAAGGTTGAAACATGATAAATTTCGAAACCCCAAAACCTGGTAACAAGGGTAGATGAGCTTCAAAAGGAAAAGCCCACTACACTCTCCAGTGCCAATCTTATCTTTACTTCTCCTCTGCGTCCAGAACTAGCAGTGAACAATCCGTCGAAAGAGCGGAATGGTCCTATTTGTGCTTGCATTGTGCACACAATAGACGCATTGCCTAGCACAGCATAGTAGACCCAGGCCCAGGCTAATGCCCCGCTTAGGCAAGTGGCGGTGAGGTAGTCTTGAAGCAAGAACTGCACCTCTCCAATCTGAGCAAGGTCGCCGTTCCTGCTTGGCTGCATCCCGCACAGACTGAAAAACCACTACAAACCTGGGAACTTCAAGTCCCTCGTTTCAAGTGAGTTCTCGCCTGACCCAGAGGTTCACGAGGATGTTGGTACGCAGCTCGGGATTCAGTTCAGCCTCTCGGAACTTGTTCTTGACCCTCACGACCTCGAACCGCTTCCGTAGCTGGTCGAAGGCCACCGCCAGCACGAAGGGATCCGAGGCAAAGACCGTGGCGCGAAGGAAGTCGCACCTCTGCGCCCCTACCCGCCACCAGCATATGTCACTAAAACGTGTTGTACAGCTTTTGTTTGGCAAGATTTTGGGGTTCGGTCTGAACAACATGAGAATGATCGTATGAATACTAATAATAACAATACGACTCGTCATAATGATATAGCCCAGGAACACGTACCGGGCCGCTGGCTTCTCAGGATTCTTGGCGTAGTCTGCTGCGGCCTTGTCCATGGCCCGCTCTTTAGCCTTGATCGGAGCCAGGAGGAGCCCCACGTGCTCACCCACCTTCGAGGGGTCAATAGGGAGTTTTGAAGCTTTAGGGTAGAGCTCTGCTAGAGTGGGATTGAGAGCCCACCTTCGGGGGTTCATAGGGAGATGTGAAGGTCTAGGAAGTAGCTCTGCTAGTAGGACTATACGTGTTATTGAGGGTCGTTGGGCTGACGTCTGCTGGCTGCTCCATTCTTGCCTCCGCATGTGAGTTGGGTTGGAGGGGGTGGAGTGTCGGGTCGAACTTCAGCTCCTGGAAGCCCAGGCTCTCCACGTCAGCTTTGCTCTTGATGCTGTTGAGACCCTTGCACAGGTCCTGGAGCTCCTGCTTCAGAAGCTGACAGCTCACAACTTCAAACACACCGAGAACGGCGCCCAAATAGTTAGAATAAGGTTCTTGGGGTCATTAAAGTATAGATATATAGATACATATATATATATATATTGTACATTTATAAAGAAACCATAAGAGGATACTAGTAGCAATGATCTCTCCTGCTTGAAGGCTCCGCGCAGCCAGCTCCCAGCCCGGTAGAGGAAGTCAATGGCCAACTTCTCATCTACGATCGACTCTGGCAGAGGTGGCTGCACCAGCTCTGAGACCGTGACGGACTCAATGGCCTGGTCTGGTGCAGATTTCAACGCCCTCCCATAACAAGCAATCCCCCCCCCCCCCCCCCCCCCCCCAAACCCAGGCCTCAAGTTGCTCCAGCCGCTTGCCATGGCTTTCCGATGCGTAGAAGCCGCGGCGATCGCCGAACCATTTCGCGAGGCGCTCGTTCTCTGCCTTGGCTTTCTCTTGCATCTCAAGGAAGATCTTCTCCGCCCCTACCTGCCGGGCGCACGAAAGTTGAGTGCAAACCGCAACACAGTGGAGTTCGCTATCGAGGTTCGAACTGCTCTGTCGCCCGGGCCTTGTTGCCACTGACCACGAGCTGAAACAGCTCCTTGTGCTTCTCAGCCATCTCTTTGCGAAGCTCGAGATTGTCCAGCGATTTCACCAGCTGGTCCTGCAATAAACACACAAGCAGCTACACAACAAAACTCAGTTCGGCCAAAGTGAAGCTCTTTTCGCAGGCACGTGAGCTCGAACAGGCTCGACAGGGGCTGCACGAGCATGCACTCAACTGACTTGCGTTGTTCATGCTGCTACCATTAGGTGTTAGTTCTTTCTCCCTCGCACAGCAAAACACCAACCTGCGGCTGCACATTGGGAAAACAAAGTGCGGACGCAGGACCCAAAAGAGGTTTTGGAAAAGGGCCGTGGCTACAGTGACGTAGGGTTTTACGGCAAAAGCGTGCGGAACTCTCTGCATGCGTCCGCACCTCGTTCGCTGAGTTGTTGGCTCTGGTTTGGAGTTGAGCTCCTGTTCTGGGCTACAACATGTTCCTACTTGGGAGACTCTGTCAGGGTATCTCATTGTGGTAGTATACTCTCCGCCAAAAGAACTCAGGTCGTCCTCACGGAAGTGAACAACACTTGGACATCGCGGTGCTCACATGAGACGCCGGTCCTTCTGCTTCATGAGCTTCTCAGCCTCCCTCAGCTCGGCCATGGCTCGGAAATCCTTGATGCGCCGCCCCACCGCCATGTAGAGGTAGCCGAGGGTGACCAAGGCGATGAACCCACAGAAGATCATCAGGGGTTTCGCGATATTACCCCACCAGAACGAAAATGAGTCGTAAAAATGTGTTACTGATAATGAATCTATGCCAAATTGAACAGCAGTCATTGCAGCGACCGCCCACAGGGCCAGGCCAAGCCCGGCTGCCAACAAGATCGCCGCTCCAAAGCAGCCCTGCTTCGCACGGCGCGCGTGCAGGAAGTGCATCTTCAAGGCCCACTCAAGTAGGGCTGTGCCCAAGCCCCAAGAAGTTAGCCCAAGAAACAGCAGTTGGTACACACCACTGTATTGTGGGGGGAGCAGCTGAGTGTGTGTTTCTTCAGGCATGTACTCACTGTAGTCAGTGATGCCAACCACATTCGCCCAATTGTTCAGAACCACAGCTCCTCTCACTGCTACCTGCGCATGGGCAGAGCGATCAAGACCCGTGTCGCAATGGAATACATCGAGACCAGACGCATTGAGGCGTCCACCATAAACCCGAACTCCTGTCTCGGCGCCCATAACAACCACGTGCGACAGATCGGCAGAAGCCCCCCCCCCAACATAAACCTCGGTGGGGCTGCATGCGCAGGACAAGAACAGTACGGCTCGCTGAAGCGTCTACTTATTTTGCCGCTTCTAGAAGCATACACTGCTTCTGTCAAGCTATTCTCTTGACAAACTGAGGCCTGCACCCCAAACCTGGCACTCGACGCAAACACAGCCACATTCTGCAGAAAAGCCCGGGTGGGTCCATCCAAACGAAGGCAGGAGTTTCTTGCGCATATGATGCGGGTCTTAGTGACATTTACCACACCGCGTAGCGAAATGAGCTCGCAATTTAAGTGCGCATCGTGCACCTGCAGCTCGTGGTAGCCGTCTCGCAGGGTAACACACCTATCGCAGGTTGCGTGCACTTCGCGCATCCAAACATGAGCTGTACCATTCATTAAACTGATGAAGCTTCCTCCTGGATATAGGTGGGAGTTTGCCACTTTGAGAACCAGGCTTTTGACATGGTCCCCGACTATGCCAGCTCGGATGCTGCTGTTGGCGATCTCAACCTCCGCATCTGTGCCGTTGTCGAGCTCCAGCCAGTAGGGGCGGGTCAAGCTGGAGCGGATGCTGCAGTTCAGGACTTCAAGGCTGGACCGCTTTCCAGGAGCGAAACTGATGACTCCCAGGAAGCTCAAGCTCTCCAAGCGCAGAGAAGCATTCTCCTCAAGGACGATGGAACGAATGTCAAGAAAGGACCTGTGCTCAAACTCATCCCACCTGCGATAATCGTACCCCCCGACACTTACACCCCGGAGGTGCCAGGAATGGTTGCTTGGAACCCGCAGTTCAACAGAGTCATTCGAAAAATGGGAGCAATCCGTTCTGGCTAAGCCCACATACTCGTCGGCGCCAATATCACACACCACATGACTTGGCTGAGAAACTCGCAGAGTCTCCTGCAGGCAACGCGGGAACACACCGCCGACAGTCATGAGACTTCGAGAAGATATGGTTGCTGGTTGATCTAAAGCTTGGTTTCTTTGGGGGTATCCATTGCAATGTGTATTCTTTAGAGCTAGCAACAGGACCGTTGATTTAGATCAACCCCTCATATGCAGCTGCTGCCAGGACCTGAAAAAATGCGCTCATCACGCAAGGTCCTGGAGGGGCTCTGTGGTGGCAAGGATGGACCCATTGGTCTCCTCGTGGCTCTGGCCAGGTTGGGCCTGGCGACTTGCTGCAAAACAAGAGGAGATACTATACGGGCCTTAATGATAGAATAGGGTTTTGGGAGGCTAATACAACTAGTATAAGTATAAAGGGACCATAAGGGAATACTATCTGTGATTATTCCGACCCCTATATTAACCAGATAACTCATGACCGACCCTGCAGTTGCCAGGGAGCCCCTGTCCCGCCTGGATGGGCTCCAGTGCGGTGTCGACTTCGACATGTGAATCCTTGCACTGGTCATGGGGCTATAAAGCGTGCGGCTCGGAGAAGCCAAAGCAGGTAGCGCAAACAGGGCAGCTCTCTGAAGTTTCTGTCAACATATTCCTTGCTGAGCCTGGTCCATACATACAAGGTTTTACGATGTTTTTTTGCATGTGGGCTGAGCGGCCAGGGCTTGCCTTGAACAACGTGCAAGTAAGCTTCACTCGGACTCGTATGGCTAAACGAATGAGGAATGAGTTGTGACTGGACGTATGAGGCTTTCCGCTCTCTGGCAGGAGCATGAAGTTCCGGTTTATGGTCGCTGTGCTAACACAGGCAATATCTTGCTTATCATGTTGAGTGTGCATTGCAGCAAAGAGCAAGGAAAAGCATAACGATTCACCGATCAACTTACATGCGCTGCCATAAACTCGTCCGATGAAACTGCTGCATACCGCAGCTACTCTCCTCCATGATTGCCGCCTGCTGCGCGTGGGGTGCCGTCTCATTCTTCTGACCCTCTCTAAGCCAATAGTACATGAAGGAAGGATCACAAATACAAATAACTGTTGTCCGCGCAAGCTCTGCTTTCTGGAATCACGGGGTTTAAGATCCATGCCTAATCTGCCTGTTCATGTGACAGGCCAGCCCCCCTTAAACGACAATGCCAGATGTGTAGTGAATCTATCAAGAGCTGAGATGCTCGAAGGGCAAAGGAACAGCAGGTCACGTCCAGGGAAAGCAGCCACCATGCCCTGCAAGCGATTGCGTGCATAGATCAGTACATCTCATGCTGCAACTCTGGTTCAAGCGACTCTGGACAGAAACAATAGGTTTGCAACCATGCGCTTCCAAAGCAAAGTAGTGTGGGCTTGCGAGCATGCTCTGGCTTCACAAGACGAGTCCTTCTACAGTCTGCTGCAGATTGGTGCTTCAAAGCTGTTCCAAAACCCCCGCAAACTTCTTGCACCCAGCGAGCCTTCTGAAACGCATGGCTGTCAAAGGCAGACCATGTTTGGAGATATTTGACAGACCTGGCAGACGAGCCGGTATCAAATGCTGGCTCAAGGGCCTTGAGCCAGATGTGCAGCGGCAAACTGAGACAGGGGGCCCCCCTGGAGGTGAAGAGTCAGACCTTTGGCTTGGTTGAATAAGCCACCCACGCCGGGCTGACAGGAGAACTTCGGATCCGTGTTCAGTTCTAACGGCTCGGCACCGTGGCGTTCTTTGGAGTTTGGGGTCTTGAGGTTGTGGGGCTGAGGCCAAGGTATGACTTTCAAACCCTTAACTCGCTTGGAGGGGCGGGGGATCCCTTGATAGGTACAGGACTCATAAGTGTTTGCAACGACAGCCCAAAAATCGACACGATACTAATCTAGAATAGAAGGCACACAGCGAAGCGTGACCATGCCAGGTAGACGGAGCAGCAGAAGACCTGCGCGAGCATGCCGCTCGACACGAAGTGTGGGGTTTGGAGATCCTTAAGGTCTAGGTCGGAACTTTCGAGGTTTAAGGTATGCCTCAATAACTGGAAGGTTCTCATCACCCCACGGAATTTTCGCGTGGAGGCGAAGTTGGAGAGGACTGGGGCAGGGCTTGGCAGGGTCTGGAGGGTTCCTGGAGGGTTTTATGGAGGGCTTATAGGGATGATAAGCCGACAGAGAACTAAGTAACTAAGTAAGCGCTGTTCCATTGTAGGGTTCGCTTATAGGGGGCTTTTGTCACCCTCGGGTTAGGGTTTAGGGTTGAGGGCTTACGGTTTAGGATTTAGGGCTTAGAAAAACCAAGGAACGCCCAGCTGGATCCAGGGCTGTGGCAACTCTGATGAAATCCAAGACGTTGTCGGCAATGGGGGCGCTCCCAGTGACGATGACCCGAACCTGATTCCAAACCCTAAACCCCAAACCCTAAACCCCAAACCCCCAAACCCATACAGGGTGCTAAGGCTAACTGGTCCCTTCCCGTGGCCCTTCCTGGTTTCACCAATTCTTTCAACCCCAGGCTCTCACTCCGCCTTGGGGTTGCCCTCTAAAGCCCTATGAACCCTGTAAGGGTTGTGAATCCTCCAAACCCTTTAAGCCACCTAAAGACCTAAAACCCTAAATGAAACCACTGTAACCCTATAAACCCTAAACCCCTCAACCCTGAAACCGCGTGGGGTTTCAGAGATTGGGCCTAACCCCCAAACCCCCAACCCCCAAATCCCCGAAAGCCGCTTAACCTTGATTGGCCCCATTGTTGGGGGTACTATCTTAAAGCTTATCATGTTTGTTCCTTATTGGGTTTCAGTCTTCATAAGAATGGAAAATGGTTTTCGACTATGACCCATGACCCAAAACCCTTTAAACCCTAAACCGCAGTCCGACGCTCAGACAGCCCCTGGATGGAGACTGAGTCCTTTGCACGGTCAAGGCCCACCTTTTCGGCGACCTTCTTGAAGACCAGCCTGGTGAGGGTTTAGGGTTTAGGGTTCAGGGTTCAGGGTTCAGGGTTTAGGGTGAGGGTTAGGGCCTATGGTCTAGGGTTTGCAGGTTAGGGTTTAGGGGTTTGGCATGATTAGGCTAATTCTGGATTGCTGCTGAATACCTTGAACAATGTTATCATTGAGGGCTAGGTTCATTCTGGGTTTTTGTTAAGTCACTTGAAGCAAGTTACCATACTACGGGTACTGTGTGATTCGCTCCCTGTAGTGCATGCGGACTCCTCGCTCCCTTGTTGGATTGGCTCCATTAACGTTCAGGGCCGAGGGTTCAGGGAGCACACTTCCTACAGAATTGCTGTTCATGAACTGAAGATCAGCCAAAGCATAAGCCCCCCCAGCAAGCCATAGTACACGCGGCTTAGGGGCTTCGGAGGGGGTGTTAGGGTTGGGGTGGCGCGTGGTATTTGGCTCACAGTGGCTGAGGGGTTTAGGGTTTACTTCCTCCTCAACCCTAAACCCTAAACACCCCTCCACCTGCCCGAACAACAAATGTGGCGGCCTGTCCCACAGTGGGTGGGTGTTCTTGCCTTGCGGAAGCATCGCCTGCATGCAGGAATCGAGCTGTCAGCCCGCCAAGCCCTAAACTTGGTAGGCCAGAAACCATAATAGAATAAGGGCAACCTCTTTTTTGGGTTGGTTACTTTTAGTTGCTTTTAGAAATGAACCCAGAACCCAACAAATGGAGGGTACAAATGGGGTACCAAGTCAACCCTAAACTTCTAAACCGCCTCCTCCAGCCGGAAGTCATGGATGTGTCACGGGAGTCTGGGAACCCTACTCTCTCGACCCTGTGAGTATAGGGCTGAGGGTCTAGGGTTTAGGGTTACTTGCGCCTGAACCCCTAAGCCTAAACTCCCTTCTGCATGTCTTTCGGGCCTGGCCTTTTTGGCGGCAAAGCCCTTCTCGAACAGAACCTGGCACTATCAAGAGCGTTGGGGTTGAAGGGCTTGGGATGTACTAAGGATCACGGCACGGGTTATCTTGCTGCTGTTGTTGATGAATCTTCTAGGGATGGAACTACTGAGCGAACTCCAGCAGAGTAGAGTCTGAGTAGAGAAGAAGTCAGTGACATCGCATGCAATGTTTGCTGAATCTCTCTCTCTCTCTCTGCGCTCACTCGCTTGCAAGTGCATCAACACATTCTTAACACTCAGCAACAGCATGACAAGGACAAACCACCTGCAAGATAATTCCATTAAGATACGATTTAAAACGAGAACAAGAGCAAACTTACAGCATTCTGCTTGTTCACCACGCAGCACATGGTCTTCACATGTCTTCATGTCGCTCGCGTGCAAATCGACTCCAAACATGTCCTCTGGCAAGAACTTGATGGCATGAACGAAGTGCACCCCCGCCGGACGAACCATGCACACTCACTGTGCACAATGGCTCGCGTTCACTCAGATTAAAGTGAGTTCGACTCCAGACAACCAATAAACTTTAGGGTTCACCCTAAACCCTAAATCCTATAAACCCTAAACCCTAAACCCCAAACCCTAAACCCTAAACCCTGACAAGACAGGGTGCAAGAGTACGAAGGCCGGTCTTTGAAGGGGAGGCGAAAATATCAGGCTCGTTCACGAGGATTTTTTCCAAGCAAAGCGATCACATCCTCATGAGCACGAAACATTGCGTAAAAAAAACAGGTTCAGAAAGGCAGCACAAACTGCGTCCAAAAAAGCCTAAACGCATGTAGAAATATAACCCAGGAGCAAAACTGAAAAACGTCTCTGCAAGATAACGCGCAGTTGAGGGTACATAGCCGGTGGTGAGGGCGCTGTGGGTGAGTAGGAGCCAAGCACCAGCAGAACTAGCAGCCCCGGGTTCAGAGTTTAGGGTTTAGGGTAAGCAATAACAGCCTAACCCCACCCGGAGGTGCGAATAGCTCGCTCGAAATTTGCCACGTGAGCTCCCAAGTTGTGGCCACTGAAAGTTTCACAGCTCGTTTGCACTCGCGCATGAGAAGAAGAAGTATCAAAACCCAGAGAAACGGCAGGGTTGAGGTTTTTGTGGGTTTAGAACGGTAGAGGATTCAACTAATACAACCAAAGAAACAGCCAGAAGAGGTTTTCAGGGTACGCAGTTGAATCCGAAAGTCAGCACCAAGGGCCCATGGTCCATCCTCGCCCCTTATAAGGCTTAGGGTTTAGGGTTTAGGGTTTAGGATTTAGGGTTTAGGGCTTGCCTTCTTCAAGCCACCAGCTTCGTGAACGCCAGCAAGCAGCCTGCGCGCAGAGGAAGCTCCGCTTTGAAGAAGATTTCTGCACCCGGGGTTTACGGGGTTTAGGGGGTTTAGGGGGTTTTGTCTATCGGGTTTAGGGTGTAGGGTTTAGGGTTTAGGGTTTGGGGCTTAGGGTTTAGGGCTAGAGTGCAGGGTCAGCATCCCAGTTTTTGTACTCAGGTCCGCATCGCAATCTCTACATCTTCCTTCGGATGGGACCGGTTGTTAAAAGCAAGGAGGCAGGGCTCTTCTTCTGCAAGAGCTGCGCGTATCCTGGGCCTGCGCCAGGCGAAAGGGCTCCAGCAACCACCTAGAGGGGTTAGGGTTTAGAGTATACACCCTAAACCCTAAACCCTAAAGCCTAAACCCTATATGGTAGCATGCAAACCATTGAAGTGCATGAGAGCCGTTTGCCGTGTGCAGATTGCTCCAGGCATCTGCGGAGCCTCCAAAGCCGACTTGAGTGTTTAGGGTTTAGGGTTTGGGGTTTGGGGTTTAGGGTTGGGGTTTAGGACTGTATTGATCTCTCGGTCGAGAAATCTTGGCAAGAAAGCCGAAAACTGGGCCGGCCGGGCGAGATCGCCCATGCCGCCGGTGTTGCTCACCGCAGGAAATATCGACACTTCTCCCTGAGCCTGTACTCTGAGAGCATAAACAGGTTAAGGGTTGAGGGGGTTGTTGGAAGAGTGCTTGTAGAGGTTCGAGATGGTTCGGGAGAACTGCGCACGATCAATCTCCAGAGTCGGATCCCCTTGCGCCGAGAGTCCGTAGCTCCCTCTGCGTCGGGGGCCCGACGGAGGTTGAAGGACGGCACTGCCTGACCCTACGGACAGGGTGTCTTCAAACAAAGACTCCACTTGAGTATCTTGAATTCCTCAGCAAGACTATTGCTAGAACACGACGCAGAGCATGTTTGTCGCAGCGTCAACCGGGCAAAGCTAGCCCTCCCCAGAACAAACGACAGCGGCCATCGACATTGGCGATCGCAGCTACGCCACCGCCTGGGGACCTGCTGGAAACATCTCCGCTGGCACACGAGTGCCTGACTGTGCGTCGAGTGCAGCATCTTCCTAATCGAGATTTGCATGAAGAGCATTCTTTGAAACGGAAGGACACAGAAGATTCCATAGATTAACATGATGGTTTGGCTTGTGCTGCGTCGAAGCCAGTTGCCTGCATTAGCACTGACCGGGCCCCAGTCAATAGGAGCAAAGGGACCGGAAAGTACACCCATGCGAAGGCAAAGTAAAGAAAAACAGGGAGACATTGCTTCAAATCTCCAGCCCTGCGTCCGCCATTGCGGCTAGGCCGTCCGATCCAGCTTGAAGTGCTGGTCCTGACCCAGATCTGCTATGGACATGCATGGGACTCGGCAAAAATGCACTAGCCATGTAGAGGCCTAGATGCAAGCGATTTCGATTTCTGGAGCCTCTTGTGACGTCAGAGTCGGGCTGGCCGCTGCAGAGTGAAGCTTCCGCATCTCACGGGCCCGGATCCGGGCGCCAGCAAGCTTAGCATCCTTGAAGAGGTGCTCCTCTTTCTGGCGCGGCACATCAATGGACAAGGCCGCCAAGAGGCCCTTGGTCTTGTGCGACTTGGGGGTCATTGGGGTCCTTGCCTTGAAGCTCTGCACAGGGAGACGTGCCATCTCGGGTGAGTGGTCGCCGCACAGCACCGTGGTGATTCCTCCGCCGGCCATGCCTGTGACTGGTGGCCGAACTGTTGCAAGGGAAGATTGGACGAAATGCGAAATCTGCTGTCTCCTCTGAACCGAAACATCACATCCCAATCAAGTGCATGTCAAGTCTCACAGGTTGCATCCAGCATGCGGGGTTCAAGAACTGAACTGTCACCACCCTAAACCCTAGACCCTAAGCCTAAACCCAAAACCCCACCCTAAACCCTAAACTCTAAACCCTAAACCCTAAACCCCCCAGGCTGACGCCCTTCTCTGGTGTCAGGCAAAGAGGAGCTTTGAAAAACCCCTCCAGCGGCCTGTCGTGGACGCGGTTGAGCAGCCGCGGCACGGAAGGAAAGATGGTCGGCCGGAGGGCCTCGTGTCTGTGTTATAATGGGGGGGGGGGGGGAGGCGGGCGGCAGGTGTTGGGATCAGGGCATGTTTCGCGGGTATGTTTCGGGGGTATGTGAGCTACTTTACCTTCAATTTCAGGGGTATGTTACGGGGTATGTTTCGCAGGTGTGTAACCCGTGTGCCCTTCTTAAACCTGGACCCCCCAAAAAACACAAAGTGTCTTTTGGGTCTGAACAAAGCATTGGTAGGGCTTCTGACGTTTTGGGGGTGTGCAGTAGGGTTTTGAGGTTTGGGCGGCGCAGGGCGCCTTCAGATGAGGACTTGGGCCTGGGGGGGCAGGGCCCGAAGCCTCAAGAACTGAACGCCAGCGACGTTCGCTCGGGTTTAGCATTCAGGGTGTAGAGGGTTTAGGGCTTAGGGTGTGGGCTTGGAGGGTCTATGTCTACTTGGGCAGGGTTGAGCTGGCGCCTGCAAGTCTTCCACGATCTTGAAGGTATCTCCCTGGTAGAAGCCGATGCACGCACCGGCCATGATAACGCCGAACCTGGTAGCTTCTTCATCGGCGAAGAATCCGCTCACTCAGAGCCGGGGTTTGTAGCTTCGGCTTCGGGAGGTCTAGGACTTGTATTTCGTTCGTGATTTTGCTGCTATTATTATTGTTATTATTATTTACTTCTTATTATAGTTATTATTGTTACTTTTGCTTTTTGTTTGGGTGGGGGGGGGGGGCGGGCGGCATGGTGACAACACAGATATGCAGGGAGGCCCTGAAAAGTCTTGTAGAATCTTGACATGTCTTGATTTCGACGGCCTGCCAAAGGCTTCGCTGGTTGTGCACGAAACACTCAACACTTGAACAAAACCTGTACTGGGATGGCCCTTAAAACTCTGTAAAAAATGTCCCTGAGTATGATCCTCTTAAACCAATAAGGGCAACTGTAAAGTGTCCCAAGGGCCTACCAAGTGGAAAACCCCCACCAGACGGAACAGGAAGCTTTCGTGGACCTGGGCCCCCTACTGCACCATCCGCTCGAAGATGTGGGGAAGAGGCAGGTAGGACATGTGGACGTCAGTCGCAACGTTTTGGAGGGCTTTCCTGGCCAGCTGCCGGGCTATCAGCTTACAACCCTAGGAATGCCACCAGAGATCCGGAAAACTCAGGTGTAGGTGAGGAAATGTAGGATGAAGAAGTCCGATTGACATGGCTACGAGATGCACTGCGGTGGCAATCAAGCACGCCAGTGCCCTCTCCAGGACTCAACCTCCCTATATCCTTACCCCAGGAAGTGAAAGGCCTGTTCGTGGGCCGAACCCACCCCCCCCCCCCCCCCCCCCCCCCCCCCAGGCTCTTAGGCTCTTGTGCAGGTCCACAAGATTTCAAAAGTTGTTGAAGGAAACCTACGTCTTCTATCCTACAGCTTAAAAAACATCACAACTTGGCTTGAGCCCGAATTGCTCCGACTTCTATCATCGAGCGGTTCATTTCGCTGGTTTGCCAGAAGCTATTCATGGACTGCACCGAACTATGAGATTGCATAGACTCCCATGAAGCAAGGGTTGAGTGACTTAGTGGGACTCCTCGGGCTGTCTCAGGGTGCATGGAGTTCGGATGCATCGGGGCTTTCTGTTCAAGGGTTCTTGGGGGTTAGGGTTTTGGTGCTTGGGGATTTCCCTAAGTCCCCATGCAGGAAAGCAGAATACCGAAACATTCGTTGACAGCAGCGGGGTACACGTTTGGGGGCCTTGAGCCCTCGGAGCCAAACGCATTTATTCGTTGGCTTGATTAGTGTTCGACTTGGGACGATTATCGGATTAAGTGAGATGCATCTGTGACCTCGGGACTTACAAAACTTGAACTCAAAAAAACAACAAACCCGAACCCTCAGAACACTCCAAAACCCTTAGAATCCTTAAACATAACCAAAGCCGGTCGGGACCACCGACCCATAGCCCCAGAGTAAGCCGCGCAGAGGCTCTGATGCCTCAAGGGAAGCCACGAATAGTGTGCAGATACAGTGTATATATATATATATATATATAATTACATACATACACATATACATTGTTAATAATGCTTATTCTAGGGTAAGTGTCCTTGGATACACAATTATGCATGTACATACATAATACTACTTATGGGGTCAGTGTCCTTGGGGTCTGGGGTCTGCTGAGGGAGACTTGCAAGTTCTCAAGACTGTAATGTGGCCCCACTCTGCGCAGCTGAAAGCAAAACCTTGAACCCATAACCCTTGGCCATAAATGCTTGACTTGGGGGGAGGGGGGCCACCCCCCCCAGCCCCCCCCCCCCCCCCCCCCGCTGCCCTCCGCTCGCAACCCACCCCCCCACCTTCCTTCAACCCTGCCCCTCCTCTACCAGGACTCCCACATTTGGAGTGCCTGGACTGCACTTGAGCCCGCGTGATACAACGGGCCTCACACCCGCGATCTCCGGTTTGGGTTGCCTCCAGGCCGAGGCGGGCCACGTAGCATTCAAAATAGTGTCCTGTTGAAGAACTGCGAGTAGCTTCCACTGGGTAGCGGACGTCAGGAGCACACCCTTTGGGTCACCGGTCGTACCCGAGGTGTAGCAGAATGTCAGGATGTCCTGTTGATGGCATGGCAGTCCTTCTGTCATCACCTGGCACATACCTGGACACTTTTAGCCAAAGGATAGCTCAGGAGACTGGCTATTCGTCCTGTGGAGATGGCGCCAAGTGTTCCAAAGGCTTGTCAGCACCGACCTTCTCCACCTCAGGGGCCGGAAGCCAAATGAGGCATCGAAGGTCCCTGAACCCTCCTCTGCCCCTCTACCCATGCCGCCAAGACTGTGAAATCTCTAAATTATGGCCCCTTGTTGGGTGCCCTACGCATTAGGGGCCGCCCCTGCAATGGTAACCCTCAAAGAAGGGATCGTATGTTAAAGAAATCACCAATTCAGATGTATCCCGAAGAGCCTGAGCAACAGCCCAGCCCCAAATCCCTTGAGTTTTGGGCCCCAGCCTCCTCCATACTGAAGGCTTTCACGCCCGCCGCAGAAGCCTGTGAGGTATCCCCTAAACCCTAAACCCTAAACCCAAAAACGCTATTGGCCCTCATGAGACTTCGGCTTAAGGAGGCTAGGCGCTTAAGATTTAAAATTCAGGGCGTGGCCCTCACACTTGCAAGAGCTCGGGTATTTACGAGTCGGGATGCTTAGAGGCTTACAGAGCCTTGAGGTTTAGGAGTTCATTGGTAGGTCCAAGTCTAAGGTGTGATAAGTGGGGGAACTACAAAATACGCTTTCACTTGTTGCAAGCTTGTGTGGGGCACGGGGGAGTTTTTGGCTTCACTGGGAGGGGTTATGGGCAATCCCTGCCATCAGGAAGAGGCAGGAGCATGGGGCTATCAGCAGGGTCGTAGTTGCAGATAGCACAGATTGATAGGGGACCAAAAACCCACATAAACACCAGGATCCTACTATCGGGCTATCAGGGCCCCTATAAGGGGGATTCCGAAAAACCTGTTTGTAGCATCCTTACGTTCATGTGGTTTTTTGGCCCCCAATTGAAGCAACCCACACCTCCCCTGCACATTTCAGCCGTGCAGGTGATGCAAACGATCACAGCGCGAGCGGCTCAAAATGCAAAGGCAGGGTGCCGGCCAGTAGACCAACACATATCTGTACAGGGTTTGGGGTTTAGGGTTGAGGGTTTAGGGTTGGGTTTGGGGTTTGGGGTTTAGGGAACCCTAAATCAGATTTTGTCGCTGCCTAAAGCCGACAGTTTCCAGAACGCCTTGCTGCGCAGGTCTTCGGTCAGGGGCTCCATGACAATCACACCTCGCCAAGCTGAAGGTGGTGGGGAACAGGAAGGGCTACATACCAAAGGGGGTTCCTAAACTAGGGTCCCTTTTTGGGGTGCTGACTCTGATTGCAATACGTGCGTATTAAAAGAAAAATATATAATTGTATATCTCTTTTTCCTAGATAGCACCCAAACAATGGCGAATAGTTGAGAGAGCTCCACCATTGAGGCTACCATTTCTGGTGTTGATTCTCTTCACGAAGGAACCCCAAACTCGAAAAGGGCCACTCAGCTACCATGTAGAGAAGCGATCACGTAGGCCTTACACTTCATTGGAGGCTTTGCCAGCTTTGAGATTGACATTGCCATCAGCCCAAGGCAGCGCGCGCTTCCTGTTCATTTTTTGTATGATCGTGCGAAGCTCACACTTGCAGGTCCTTGTCACCCCCTGTAGCTCAAGCCGAGCACTGCCCTACAACTGCTGTCTGTCTAAGCGTCCCACACTCCAGCGTCGGACACTCAGACTTGCAATCCAAGACGTTCTGCAGAACAGCCGCCTGCCAGCATCTGCAACGAGAACTGTACCAGGCCCAAGGTCTAGGGGTACAAGGGGTTGGGGGTTCAGGGTTTATAGGGGTATAAGGGCTTGCGGTTCAGGGTTTATAGGGGTTCAGGGTACAAGGGCTTGGGGGTTCAGGGTTTATAGGGTTTAGGGTGTGAGCGCCCTGGGCCAGCAGAGGCTGAGGCTCTGGCTGCACAGAGGACAGTCTTGAGGTTGCACTGCTTGATGACATAGGCCACACCTGGGGAGATGGTTAAACGCCTCTCAGATTAAAACAAGCTCGCTAAGAACATGTTAAACATGCTAATATTAAAACAAGAATATATCAGGTCATATGAGTTACATATTTAAAACACATTAATCTTTAATTTTTAGAATATACAACAGCATGTGGAAGCATACATTAAAAGCATAACCTACTGCTCCTTGAGGGCCAGGCTATCCGCACCGAGTGTATCGTACATGGGAACCGTCACAATCGACTGGCAAAGGCATGGCTCGAGAAGTTCGAGCAAGGTGTCCGACATGCAGGTACAGTCTTCTCGCCGCAACCCTGAACCCTAAACCCTAAACCCTAAACCCTAAACCCTAAACCCTAAACCCTGAACCCTAAACCCTAAACCCTAAACCCTAAACCATCCCTCTAAGTTCATGGTGCCCTGCGAGCTGCGGGGTACCTGTGTGAAGCAGCCCTGCTCGGCCAGGACCTCGACCCCAGCAATCGCTATGGAGGACTCGCGCGGTGAAAGGGCAATGCCCTAGGGTTTAGGGTTAGGGTTTAGGGTTTGGGGTTTAGGGTTTAGGGTTTAGGGTTTTGGGTTTTGGGTTTGGGGTTTAAGGATGGTTCCGAAAATGGGCAAGCGGGGCGGGAGGGGGGGGAGAGATTGGGGGGTTCCGATCATAAGCTGGCGGATGAAATGGGTACAGTACCCCCCGCCCCCCATTTTGGGAAATCAGAACCCAAATACAGGAGCTACCATACTGCAGGAACAGGTGTGCCAACAGAGGCCTTCTGCTGTCGACCGTCCGGAAGCGTTCGGAAGAGGACATGGGCTACTGAGGGCCCCACTCTCCGGAATCTCCGGAAGCCACTCACCCGTACGCATGCCAAAGCAGAATTGGAGGAGGCAAGACTTTGGAAACTACCGTAAACCCTAAACCCTAAACCCTAAACCCTAAACCCTAAACCCTAAACCCTGTGCCCCAAAACATTTTGGCCCCCCAACGCCCTGAAACCGCAGCATCCTTGGGCCCCAACCCACTCGAGGCGATTCTTGGAGTAGAACCTGGGCGTCTCAGCAAACGGTTAGGGTTTAGGGTTTAGGGTTTAGGGTTTAGGGTTTAGGGTTTAGGGTTTAGGGTTTCGGGTTTAGGGTTTAGGGTTTAGGGTTTCGGGGCCGGTTAGGGCTTGAGGGGCTTGAGGGGTTTGAGGGTTTAGGTTTTGCGGTTTGTCGGTTTGAGGGCTTTCGGGCTTAGGGACAAGCAGCGCGGACTTTGGGGAACTTGAGTTTCAAGCCTTTAGGGCATTTGGGAGCTCACGGTACTTGGCGAAGCATGTTCTACATGAAGTCGAGGGGCACCCTTTTTGGGCGCGGCCCGACCATAACAAGGACAAAAATCTTGTGGGGTATATCCAGTCCTCTAAACCCTAAACCCTGAACCCCAAACCCTAAACCCTAAACCCTAAACCCTGAACCCTGAACCCTAAACCATCCCTAAACCAAGAGATGTAAGCTGGGCTCTTGGCCCCAACATTCCGCGATCCTTCACCTCTGGATCTGGCCTCGCGGGGCCTGGACACAATGGCTGGTGCCTAGTGAGATTCAGGGTTAGGGGTTTAGGGTTTAGGGTTTAGGGTTTAGGGTTTAGGGTTTAGGGTTTAGGGTTTAGGGTTTAGGGTTTAGGGTTTAGGGTTTAGGGTTTAGGGTTTAGGGTTTAGGGTTTAGGGTTTAGGGTTTATAAGGTTAGGCTTAAGGGGGCCTCGTAGGCTGAAGGGTTTAAGGTTCGTTGTGAAAATCTTACTCTCAAGTGGCAGGCCCTCAGCTCGCAAACTCCCTGACAGCCTGAACTCTCTTGGACGCCTCAACCCTTAACTACAGGAAACTGGGCCTTAAAACGTCAAACACAAAAGCCTCAAGGGCATCTAGAGCTCCAAAGCTGAAAGTGCGAAATCTGTGTCATGGAAGCATGAAAAGCGAGGATAACAGTCAGCAAAGTGCAAACCCCCAGACCCCTAAGCAACCCTGAACCACAAGAGCAAAACCCTATGCAAACCTAAGCCAACATCAAACTCCAGGACCAACCCCCGGAAACAACCGAAGCCCTTACAAGACGCTCTCAAGACCCTTTCAAGCCTAACCCCAAACCCTAACCAAAACCCTAAGCCCCTTCGTGCAAGCCCCTAAACCCTAAACTCCTAAACTCCTAAAACCCTAAACCCTAAACCCTAAACCCCTAAACTCCTAAAACCCTAAACCCTAAACCCTAATACGGCCCAGGTCCTTCCCTCAGTTCCTGAGGCGAAGACAAAGTTCCAGGTGCACGAGGCCGCTGCCGAAGTTTTCAGCCCTGGCAGATTGTGGTTTTGGGGTTCAGGGGTCTGGGGGTTTGGGGTTTGGGGGTTTAGGGGTTTAGGGGTTTTAGGGGTTTAGGGGTTTAGGGGTTTAGGGGTTTAGGGGTTTAGGGGTTTAGGGGTTTAGGGGTTTAGGGGTTTAGGGGTTTAGGGGTTTAGGGGTTTAGGGGTTTAGGGGTTTAGGGGTTTAGGGGTTTAGGAAGCCCTAAGCCCTAAGTCAGCCCTAAGCCCTAAGCCCTAAGCCCTAAGCCCTAAGCCCTAAGCCCTAAGCCCCAAGCCCTAAGCCCTAAGCCCTAAGCCCTAAGCCCTAAGCCCTAAGCCCTCTACCCTCTAAGCCCTAAGCCCTAAGCCCTAAGCCGGAAGAAGGGTTTTATTTTTGTAGGGCTTTGTAGAATGTGGCGATGCAACCAATATAGGCAAAATAGGGGTACCCCTTTTATACCCCAAATAGAAGAGAATTTGCTTGGAGGGACCCCCAAAAAGGGTACCCCCATTTTCGGGAATCCCCCTTGAGGGGGGTGGGGGGGGGGGCTTAGGGTTTAGGGCTTGGGCTTAGGGCTTAGGGTTTAGGGGCTTAGGACTTAGAGCTTAGGGCTTCGGGCGCCTGGACATTCAAGCGCAGGGTGCCCCCCACCCCCGCGCTTTTGTTCTTTCGACGAGCTTGTTCGTACTGTGACCGCATCAGCACGCGAGATGCTGCGGCCGACAAAGTCACACGTTGAATTTGGCCTTGCTTTCTATCCACACAGATCGAACGGCAACATTGTCTGGAGTGCCAGACCCCTGCCCTTGCAGTCGGTCTTTGACGTTGCAACCCCCCCCAACTCACAGCTTCCTACATTCCCCCACGAAATCTCCACATGTCGAGTCAATGCCGGACGTCGGCCTGATTGATAAAGCTCCTACCAGTGACAGTGGGCAAAGGCACGATCCAAGCACTGCGGTTGAGATCCCAAGATCCCAAGCTGCAGTCGGCCAGGAGCCACATAGGTTCGCAGCCAAGTGCCACGTGCTGGACATGGGCCACCAATGTCTGCACAAATCTGCTCCAAGTTTATACTCTGACTGCATAGGCCCGCGATATGCGGCGGCCGACAAAATCACACGTTCAATTTGGCCTTACTGTGCCCCAGCGGTTACACCACACAAATGGAACGGCAACATTGTCTGGAGTGCCAGACCCCTGCCCTTGCAGTCGGTCTTGACACAGCAATCCCCTGAGTTAGGGCTTCAGGTTGAAGGTTGTTGCTACAACTTCCTACTTCCCCACTACATCTCCACATGTCGAGTCAAAGCCGGAAGTCGAACTGATTGATGAAACTCCTAACCCTAAACCCTATAAACCCTAAACCCTAAACCCTAAACCCTAAACCCTAAACCCTGAACCCTAAACCTGCGATGGAGATCGAAGTCCACAAACGGCCAGCTTGCAGTAGTGCATAGGCCCCGGAGAAGTGCCGGTGGACATCATGTGGGGTTTACATTCCTTGTCTATGAATAGGACACCCAGCATATACACTCACCAAAATTCTTAAAATCAACCCTAAGCCCTAAACCCTAAACCCTAAACCCCAAACGCTAAACCCTAAACGCTAAACCCTAAACGCTAAACCCTAAATACACTCACCAAGAACAGTAATATAAACCCTGTTCAGATGAGCCACCGCGGGTTTGCGCACACTCCACGTGTGCATGAAACGATGAAACGGGAGAGGGCATGGGCCTCCGCTTGCCACAAACGAAGCGTTGCTTAGAAGATCAGTGGGCAGTTTTAAGTGGTGCTGTATAAGTTGCAGGTTCCCTAGTTAGGGTTAGACGTATATGGGGGGGGGTTCCGAAATTCGGGGTACCTTAACCCTAAACCCTAAATCCTAAACCCTAAACCCTTATTGGGGTCCTTGTTATGAGGGGGATCCTATTCGGGGTCCCTAGCTATCGTAAACCCCCCATATAGTTGCGGTTTTTCATGGCCTACTTCGAACCCCCGCGACCCTAAACCCTAAACCCTAAACCCTAAACCCTAAACCCTGAACCCTAAACCTGCGATGGAGATCGAAGTCCACAAACGGCCAGCTCGCAGTAGTGCATAGGCCCCCGAGAAGTGCCGGTGGACATCATGTGGGTTTACATTCCTTGTTTATCGAATAGGACACCCAGTAAATACACTCACCAAAAACTCTCAAAATCAACCCTAAACCCTAAACCCTAAACTCTAAATACACTCACCAAGAACAGTAATATAAACCCTGTTCAGATGGGCCACCGCGGGTTTGCGCACACTCCACGTGTGCATGAAACGATGAAACGGGCGAGGGCATGGGCCTCCGCTTGCCACAAACGAAGTGTTGCTTAGAAGATCAGTGGGCAGTTTTAAGTGGTGCTGTATAGGTTGCAGGTTCCCTAAATTAGGGTTAGACGTATATGGGGGGGTTCCGAAATTCGGGGTACCTTAACCCTAAACCCTAAACCCTTATTGGGGTCCTTGTCATGAGGGGGATCCTATTAGGGGTCCCTAGCTTTCGTAAACCCCCCCATATAGTTGCGGTACTTCATGGCGTACTTCGAACCGCCCGCAACCCCAAACCCCAAACCCTAAACCCTAAACCCTAAACCCTAAACCCTAAACCCTAAAACCCTAAACCCTAAACCCTACACCTACTTCCAATAGAGGTATTCTTCTACCTTGGAGGTTTTGGGGTCCCTTTTTACGGATCCCCAAGGGAATATAAGGGCCATTTAGGGTTTAGGGTTTAGGGCTTACAACCTCAAGGGTACGAGTCTTCATCCCTTGAGGGCTGTTCAAAATACTTGGCGGTAAACCCTAGAGCCTAAACCCTGCTAATAGTACAAAATTTGGGCCCTTAAAAAGGGGACCCCCAATATACCCATTATAAACCCTATACATATGAGCCCTTTAAGGGAGGTAACGGTAATTAAAGGGCCCATGAAACTACCCTTAGAACCCTAAAAAACAGCTTGCTCTAAGGAATCTGTCTTCAGGTCGCAAATCGCCCCATATGGTTAAACGGAAATATTCTCTTTTCTTGGCTGCACTTCGGAGGGTAGCTATAAACTAAAAACTAAACTTTTAGCTGCCTTACTAGGAAACCCAGTAAACCCCAAATTGGCTAAGGATCTAAAGTTACAGTAAAGCACCACAAAGTTTTAAGCTGTCAGCCCTAAACCCTACGCCCTTAGATAAGCCATGTTGGAGGATCTGGGCTGGTGGTGCAACAGACTCTGGCATCTCTTGGGTGTTCAGACGGCTGCCATGCTTTTAGGGTTTAGGGTTTAGGGTTTAGGGTTTAGGGTTTAGGGTTTAGGGTTTAGGGATTTGCGTCCACGTAACGCTGTAGATTCTGTTGCACTGTCAGCAATTAGCCACGGACCGGGCGGCTAATTACCAAACCCGGCCCAGCGCTGCACAAATAAAGTGATCCATCGCACTCAGCCGTTTGCTGATACCGGAATCTCAGGATCTCTTTGCTTTAGTCGTTAGCTGATCTGTCGGACGAAACCCTGCACCCCGGTTCTGGCCCGGTTGAACCATCCGGTACTGGACATCGTGTCTTCATCGACCATGCCTGCTTTCTCACGTCGGCCAGCAACGCACTTCCTGAGCTTGCCAGAGTGTGCCTGCACGTTCTTCAGGAAATGCTCGAGCCGACGCTCGTACACCTGGTGCATCAAGCCATTCGGCGGCAAGGGTGGGGAGCTTTCGTCCGGCAAGCTGTAGTTGCCCATCGACAGCCTTGGAGACTTCGAGTCGTGTCGATACCAATCCTTGGTAGCCCAAAAACCATATTATCATAAGGGCACCCTTTTTTGGTTGGTTACTTTATAAGGGAACCCAGAACCCCCCCCCCCCCCCCACACTAAAAAAAGGAAAGGGGTACCAAAAGGGAACCCAAAACCCCCCCCCCCCCCCCACACTAAAAAAAGGAAAGGGGTACCAATGGGGTACCAAGACTCTGCCTCGACTTCCGAAATGTCGGGCTCGTTGTCGGTCCTCATCTGGAAGTTCGGCGCCACGGAGGGCGCCCAGGGGCCTGTGAAGGAGCTGCACATTCCATCACAGCTGGGCATCCCATCCTGGGTAGCCCAGTAACCATATGGGGGTTGTCTGATTTTCTTGTTCCCAGGAAAACACCAAGCGCCGCGCCTTTCGCGGGTTCGTGGAGACATAAATTATCATAGAGTTTTAGTCGATGATATAGTCGACATAACCAAGTACAAACAGCAGGGAAGCTGGGTGCGTTTTCCAGGCCCCCCAAAACGCACTTTGCCCTCTCACCCCAACAAGGGGAATCAACGTGCTGGTCTCAATGCTTGTGGACAAGTGGTCGACAAAACCAAATACAAGCTCCAGTGTGCGTCTTCCAGGACCCTCAAAACGCAGTTTGCTCTCATCCCAAGAAGGGGAATCAATGTGCTGCTTTCAGTGCTTCTGGACCCATAGTGCAGGTTTCAGCTTATTTGGGGCCCATACTGATAGAATAACCTGCCCCTTAACCCTCAAGCCCCAATGCGAGTGCGTTTAGGGACCGCGCCTAAACGCACCCATTGTGCAGGTTTCAGCCTATTTGGGGTTTGAGGTGTTCAGGGGCATGAGAGTCCATTAGTACGAACCCCAAATAGGCTGAAACCTGCCCCATGGGTGCGTTTGCACGCGGTCCCTAAACGCACTCGTTTCGGGTTTGAGGGCTAAAGGTCATGATATTCTATCAGCCAGATTTAATGGAAGTTGGAAGCACGGCTGGCCAATACCTTTCCAGGACCTGTCGCCCAATCGCGTCCCTTTCGCATGCCTTTCGCGATTTTCAGCGTGCGCTTCCTCTCAGAAACAGCGTGAAATCAGGGAGCACTTTCGCGGTCAGTCACGGAGATCTTGCTCTCCAGCACGTGCCATCAACCATCCAAGCCTGCGTTTTTGCACTCGACACGGATCAGTGTGCATTTTTGAAGCCTTCCAAAACGCACTTTGCCCCTGATCCCCTCCCCAGCCCCATTGCAACCACCACCGGCCGCCACTAGAAGAAACAAAGTGAATGCTTTCAAGCATCAGGCATAAAACCCCCTAAGCCCCATATGGGTGCGTTTGCAACGCATTCGTCGGGGAGCAAAGTAGAGACTTCCACTATGGGTGCGTTTAGGGGCAGTCCCTAAACGCACTCGCATTGGGGTTTGAAGCTTAAGGGACAGGATATTCTATCAGTATGAACCCCAAATAGGCTGAAACCTGCACAATGGGTGCGTTTAGGAGCGGTCCCTAAACGCAGTCGCTTTGGGGTTTGAACATTCTATCAGTATGAACCCCAAATAGGCTGAAACCTGCACCACGGGTGCCTTTAGGGGCGGTCCCTAAACGCACTCGCTTGGGGTTTGAGGGGTAAGGGGCATGATATTCTATCAACCAGATTACCCCTTTCGCGGCGCCTTCCGCCGCGCTTTCGCGGGCCTTTCGCGGATACTAAAAAACAAGCAGAAATCTACATAAAAATTTCGCCATCAAAAGAAGACAGGGGTTTGCGGATAACGCCCATATGATAATAAGAGCACCCTTTTTTGGTTAGATACTTTTGAGGGAACCCAGAACCCAAAAAAAAGGGGAAAGGGTACCACTGGGCTGCCAAGCATCATCCTCAGCAGACAGCGCTGGCTGACTGCTGGGCATCAAGGGCAACAGCTGACCGATTTTCTCGGCGCTTGCCGAATCCAGTGGTCCCATGGCCGGCGTGCGAACTTGCGGACCTCACAAGTCGTGTTCAACGGGATCATAAATGGCAAAATGAAACTTGAGCCAAAGCCATTTTTAGAGCTTCCCCAATAATTCCTTAATTGGTGCGGCCCTGGCCAACCCTGTCCCCCCCCCCCCCCAACCCCAAACCCCAACCCCCCAACCCCAACCACTGACACCGCGCGAAGCCAAATCTCGGAGCCCCCCCAAAGCTTTCAACTTTACACCTCAAACCGGACCTGTACACAGCTGGCGCGCGACGGGCATGCCGCCTTCCCCGCCTCACCCCCACTGCCCCTTCCTGCCACCTCGGTACCCTTGCCGAGGCGGCCTCGCGTTTCACCGCTAAGTTTGTGAGTTCGCTTGAACAAAGGTCCCGTGCGCAGAAGACAATTCTAAATTTAACATTATGTACGCACAGTAAGTCCTAAATGAGTACAATGAACGCACGCGTGCATTGTAAACTCATTACGAGTAAAGGTGAACCAGCGATTGAATTTACTTTACTTCATAAAAAGGGCGTCTTCTGCCCGTATGAAAATATATCAGATTAATGCGCGACAAGTGAGCCGACATGGAGGTGCCATCAGAAACATTTTGTAGGAGCTCTTGGGGTTCCAGACCTGTTCTCCATTGGAGCATAAGCACAGCGGTTCGGCTTGCTGGCCGTTTCGGGCTGAGCCGTGGGAGGAGGATGAGGAGGAGGATGAGGAGGAGGATGAGGAGGAGGATGAGGAGGGCAAGTAAACAGACTGCCAAGTATCTTTGCAGCACCGTTGCCATTTGTACGTTTGGTTTCCAGTCTGAAGACATGGAGGCATCATTCCAATGCTCCACCTACCCTAGACCATAAACCCTAGTAAACCCTCAACCCTAAACCCTAAACCCTAAACCCCAAGCCGTAAACCTGATCTGGCACAGGCATGGAGTGAGCGGAGCTCATGATGCTCATGTTGCAAGGCACTCCGGCACCTCTTGCCAATTTGCTCGTACGTGCTCCAGACCTGAGCTGTGCTCCTAGCCCTAAACCCTAAACCCTAAACCCGAAACCCTAAACCCTGAACCCTAAACCCTACACCCTAAACCCTAAACCCCCGAAACTTGCAAAACCTTGGCATGTGTCTGCGGCAGTCGTCGACTGCTGAGCTGCCCTGACTTGAAACTTGGGGGGGTTCAGGATTTCCGAGTTCTCAAGGTCTGGTAGAACCTAGCCGATACATTCTGAACCCTCAGCCGCAGGCATAGGGCCCTGCGGTGCCATCTGCAGCAATTGGCCTGATGAAGGCATCAGATGAGGGTTTGGGGTTTGTTGTAGACATACTCTTCCCATATCGTCTTCCCATTGGGGGGTCCCACCCCCCTTCGAAGTTGTTGACAGCTCATGCCCGAGCTAACGTCAAGCTCGTGCATGTGCTGTGCAGGGCTTGGCTGCCCCATCTAGTCCCTTAAACCCTAAGCCCCGAGCCCATTATCCCCTGATTCGTGGCATCACCACGCCTCATGTGTCCCTTCAAAGGCTTTCAGGCCGCTGTCTAGATGTCTAGGCAGACAAAGGCATGAAATGATGGTGTATATCTGACATTTTGTTCATTGCAAGTAAGAGCGTCTCAAACCAAAAGCAGGGAAACTGACACTTTCTGGGAAGTCTCCAGCTGACTCACTAGTTCTCCGTAGGGCATTCGACAAATGAACTAGGGGCCCCGTAAGCATCAGTATCGTGGTGAACCATAACCGGTAAGTCCCCAGGGATTGCACACGATACTTTACCATCCTAAACCCTAATTAATCCCTAAACCCTAAGCCCCGAAAATCCCTAAACCCCTAACCCCTTAAACCCCTAAGCCCCTAAACCCCTGCTGTGGAAGTGTGCGGGCCTGAATCCAAGGCACGGTCGATTGGGGTTCTTCTTGCGGGCGAGCTGGAAGTTTTCATAGGACGTCTTGACCTGCGACAGGCTTGAGTCAGTTTACTTGGCTGCGGTGGATGGGCCCCAAACCCATGTTGGGGTCCTGGAGCAGGGTTTAGGGCTTGAGTAACCCTAAACCCTAAACCCTAAACCCTAAACCCTAAACCCTAGGTTCCAGGGCTGACTCCGAAGACTTCGGAGACTTGGGCTGGGTCCGCGCGCGCGCGCGTGTGAGGGAGCTAAGCAAGCCCTGAAGTGAAATTCTCACGATGGTGATGGACATTCTGGTTTCTTGCAGTTGATTGAAAGTCCATCTTACTCGTCAGGTTGCTGTGGTGGTGTGGAGGCTCTAGCCGTTTTGCTTCGACTTTACGGCACCTGCTTGGCCCAGTGAATGCGTCTACATCGGTGCCCACGAGAAGTCCGAAGTCACTCCGCGGCACGTGAAGCCTGCTCGTCAGGATCTCTGCTCAATACAGAATACGGCATAGGGCATATCGGAGCCGTGGCTCTCTTGGATGTCGTTTATTCATACCCAAACACCCCAAACCCAAAACCCTCAACCCCAAGACACTAACAAGGCATGATGAGAGGCAAAAGGGCAGACCACAGGCGTCCAGCCTGCTCACGGCTTTCCGGGTCGAAAATTCCCACGGAAGGCTCCTCCCAGGTTCGTGTCCCTTGAAGTGTCATAATATGGGGGGATATAAGGCATCTGCTTCCCTGATTCCCTCAACCCTGATTCCCTAAACCCTATTGAGATCTCGCAAGCTTTACAGAATCCAAGTGCTGCTGATCATGACTTGAGCTCATTAGCCGAAACAGAAACATGTTTGTTTACGGTTTCTCATCACGCTCCAAGCTCTTGGGCTTACCCCCGAAAACCCAAAACCCTAAACAATAACCTGACAAGCCCTAAACCCCTTACACCCCCAAGCAATAAACTCCTAAACCCCTACACCCCAAACACCTTCAGGGCCCTGAAACTTAACCCTTCCATCCCAAAAGGCCCCCCGAGCCCTAAACTGCTCAACCGGGTCCCTTCCATCGCAGCTGCGGTGGATGGCTCCCCAACCATGTTGGGGGTCCTGGATCGGTTTAGGGTTTAGGGTTTAGGGTTTAGGGTTGAGGGTTGAGGGTTGAGGGTTGAGGGTTTAGGGCTTATTCACCATGTTGGCAGGGGTCCTGGATTAGGCTCTCAGGGTTTATATAAGGTGCTAGGGTTTTCTAGGTTTCAGGGTCTTGGTTTGAGTTTTAGGGTTTGGGCTTTCGGGGCTTAGGGTTTTAGGGCTTTAGGGAGGACTGTCTGGCTTGAACGAAGGTTCATGGGTAGCTACAGGCAGGCCATGTCTTCTGGTCAGGGGTCCCGGGTTTGGGAAGTTACGATTCAAGGGTTCGGGGGCAGCGATGAGTGGGCCATAAAAATCGGGAAACTGTCGCTCTACGTGGTTCGAGCCTTGCTTGTGGGCCCCAGATCCCTCAAGCAGTGGTTGTAGACAGCTGTAGAGCTGGCACCCGAAAAAACAACGACACCGACCCCTGTTTTGGGGCATGGTTGGTTGCCCCCTTCCACTTCAGGCACAGCTCTCAGGAATAGGACTCTGGACTCGGCTTGTCTTTGCTTTAGGCTGTTTTCTGTTGCTTTTCTGTTTTTGCCATTTCTCCAAAGCATGGTCCCATTTGGGGGTCCTGAGTAAAAGACGGCCGCTATCATGTAGGGTACCCAAAAAAGGAGACCATCATTTTCAGAATTGACCTGTGGCTTGGTAGGGGCGTGGTTTATGACCTGGCCTCAGTTCCGGGCACGACCTTGGTATACACCATGGCTCAATGGCTCGAAGTGTACCGCCTCTTCGCCACGATCAAGCTGTCGTTGCACAAGAAGCATGGGGACGTTTTGGGTGATTTATCAGTGCGAATCTGCCTCGTGCTGCCTTCAGACATTTAACTCCACACTCCGAAGGCTCTGCAAAAGCGGCTTGCAGGGACACACTGGCAGAAACATGCGCGCTTGCAGCTGCTCCACAGTTTGAGCCCTGTGTCTAGGGATCTAGGGTTGGGATGTTCCCTCTTATGCTAACAGCCCTTCATCTGGATTATAGTATCCCCCGATTATAATCCCGATTAAGGCTTGTTAGGATGAGGAGGAACATCCCAAGCTTAGGGTTTAGGGTTTAGGGTTTAGGGTTTAGGGTTTACGGTTTAGGGTTTAGGGGTGAATGGGGACTTTGAAGGTTTCATGTGACACTGGCTGGCGTGGGATACCGGGTTGTGCTAGGCCTCTTCCAGTCAGAGGCTTTCGGTTTCTAAGGTTTAGGGTTTAGGGTTTCGGTTTCTAGGGTTTAGGGTTTAGGGTTTAGGGTTTGGGGTTTAGGGTTTAGGGTTTAGGGTTTAGGGTTTAGGGTTTTGGGGTTTAGCGGGGGTGGGAGGGGTACAGTAGGGCTCTGAATCGCTGAGGACTTCCAGGGCCTGGAACGACCAGGGGCTTTCCTAAGCTAAGGACCCCTTGTCAACAAAGGCATTTGATTATTCATGTGGGGATTCGGGTTTCGGGTAAATAGGGGTACCCCCTTTATACCCCAAAAAAGACGAGAGGCCCCCCAAAAAGGGTAAGCCTATTTTGATTATTCATGGGACCTGTTTGCTAGCAAGCTCTCCTCAACTCTAGACCCTGAACCCCTGATCTAATGGGTGGTTACATGGTCCCTCAATATGGTCCCTTGCCTTCCTTAAAGGGTTCTGAAGTATGGGCCTTGGGTTTTCTAGGGTATATCACGGGTCCTGCCCATACGAAGTGACCATGTACTACCCCAAGACCTGAACCCTGAACCTCAGTATGCATCTCCTTTTTGCTCGCGCAGGAAGCGTTTGGCATCGCCAAGATCAGCGGAAGTTGTGCAGCAGATCCTCTGCACCTGGAGAAGGGCTGTTAGGGTTAGGGCTTATAGGGCTTATAGGGCGTTCTAGGGTTTGGGTTGTCTTAGGCTTATAGGGCTTATAGGGCTTATAGGGCGTTTTAGGGTTTAGGGTTTGGGGATTAGGGTTTATACTTGCCAAGTGGACCCCCATAGACCCTATGGCTTAT